TGTGTGTGTATTTATGTGTAGGCCTATATGTATGTATGTATATATATAATTATATAAATATAGGCCTATATATATATTTAAGCCATGTACTAGCCTTATTGCAATAATGTGTTGCCCTGAAATATTGAACAACTTGGACTGTATGCTAAATAAAATCAAATTCATTGGCCATTTTTAAGAGGAAATATATACAATTTCTATTTGTTTATAGTAAGTTCAGTAGAGCCCATTCATGATGTCAATTATCCATGATTGTACTGAGTTATTGTATTTTCTATTTTCCAATATGTTTTTGTATAGCCTTTCTGCGTCTGTTTAAAGCTCCACCTAGAATTTGGTTGCCCTGGCAATAGCATTCCTAAAATCAGCGCGCGTCCTCTAATCCCAAGTCCCAGTATTTGTTATGGTTAGGTTTTTTTTTTTGTTTTTTTTAAAGATTTATTATGTGTGTGTTTCTGTATGTTTGTATACATATTTTCATATGGTAAAGGAAAAAGAAAATTACTCACTTTTTTCGATAGGCCTATTTATTCTTTTTTATTTATTATTTTATTTCTATATAAGTTGTTAATTAAATATTAACCGACTTCTTCTGAGGGCCTCCTATGATAAGCATGTTGCATTCTTCCTAATTCCGTTTTTTTTAATAAGTGTATATATTTTATTTCAGTAAATATTCGGTAAAAGTCTAACCGTTTGCAAAATACAGTTCTGAAGATCAAGGCAAACCCGTGGACCAGTGGCTATAGTTGCTTTCTCGTTTTGTGCCCGTTAATTTTGCTGAATGGTGAGTCACAAAAACTTGTTCTTATTATGAATTTCATGTTCATTGTTAAATGCTTTGTAGGATAAAGTTTGACCTGGTTCAACACTAAGAATAAACATTTTAATTTCAATATTACAACACAAAAACTGTCATATTCCATAATTAAATTATATTAAAATAAATTGAAATAAATTTTAAAAGTTTTCATAAAAATAATAAAGTATGTAATGTGATTAATAATTAATTAATTGTAACTTACATAAATGCTAACGTTACAGAAAGTGAAATTTAATACTAATTAATAATTGAGAATAAAATAATACAGAACTAATATATGATTTAAAGTTTAGGCTGTACTAGCTCAGTATGGGCATGGAGGAATACACAGATAAGGTCTTAGTATCCCTAAATTAAAAAATTAAATTAAATTAAATTAGAAAGAAGCTGATTTCAGTTGATTTGTGTAGGGATGTATACCAGGATACACCAAACAAAAGTTAGGTGAGATAGGGTGTGGGGACAATTTTTTATGAGGTGTCAAAGGTCATTGACCCCGGCCTAAAATACTAATACATGTATCTCAGGAACACTTTTGGTGTCAAAATGCACAGAATTATGCAAACAATAAGAAAATAAAATTTAAAAAATCCTCATAATCAATTCATGACCTTGGAAAACGAGGTCAAATTTCAAATGTCCCCCAGGTAGGGTCTTGCGCAAATAGAATGTCTACCCACCACAGCTCCAAAACTGTAATTATGATTATGACCGGGGATGGCACTCTCAGATTAAAGTTGAATACAATTATGTTTGTTTTCTCCATTTTTTAAAAATAATTTTGAACTTAGGAAGTTGGGGGCCCGTGCTGACTGGGTTCCCCATTGAATCTGCCACTGTTAAATATAACACTTGACATAGCCTATTATTTTGTTTCATAAATGATTAATTGCTAATGTCAAGTGAAAGATTTTTTCATTCGAAAGATTTTTTGTACTCAATACAGTTTTTACAACCTATAACACATAACTACAGCGTACTGTAAATTTTGTAGTTAACGTTCAGAGAACTTTATTTTTTAAAAATGGCCTAATTAAGTATATCCTCTCCAACCCCCCCCCCCAAATATGCCTAAATACAGAATTCACGAAGGCAGGTGATTCTATTCTTTTTTTCTTCATGCTCGAGGGTAGGTTATCTTAGAAAACTTTACAGACCTCAATCAACATTTGGTTGCTCAACTCAAAAAGGGAACTTGTAAATGCTTGTTAGACAATGAAAAAAAATTCTACATTTTATAATAATTGGTCAATTTACAAGGCGCAAATAAACAAGGTGTCTAAGCACCAAAAAATAACAATAATAATAATAACAACAACAACGTTGTAGCATTCATAAAATGTTTGTCACTGGTGCTGGGGAAAACGACCAAGTACGGCCCTCCTGCCCCCCCCCCCAACCTTCCGCCGCCGTTGACTATATACCATAAAGTGTTCTTGAGTATTTTAAACCGGGGTCAATGAACTTTGACCGGTCATAAAACATTTTCCCACCCTCTAGCCGACATTTTTTTGGTGTATCCTGGTATATATCCCTACGCAAATCAGTTGAAATCAGCTTTTAATTTTTTCACAGATTTGCCTTTAACTATACACGAGAGATTTTTTGTTGATTTTACATTAATATATATATTTAACAATAATAAAAGAAATAAAAACTATAACTCAGATATATAATTTTGAAAAAGTAAATTACTTGTACTAGTTTATATGGTGTTTTAAATATCAGTTTATTTGGTATTGAAATATTTATTTGTAATTCTAACAATTCATTTGAATTAGATATCATTTATATTTGGTAACCTATTGCAATCTTACAATTTAGATTGTTTATTATAAAAGGTCAAAAAATATTTATTAATACATTAATGTAGTATAAACAATAATTTCAACCACCCCATTGACAATCCCACTACTGTTAATATCGAATTGCTTAATTTTATGCAGCTTTAAATATTAGTTTTCAACATTTTCTTTTTGCAATGGACTTATTAATTGCTGTGTTTGTGCTTTATTGCCCCCTCTGCTGTGTTTATTGTGTTTAATAATATTTTATTCATTTTGCAATGGACTTATTAATTTGCTGTATTCCTTTCCAATACTTATAAATGTGTTGATTGATTAATTTATTGTCCCTCTGCAGTGAAATTACAAATTGTGTTTTGATTGATTAATTTAATGTCCCTCTGCAGTGAAATTACAAATATTGTCTTTAATAATATTTTATTCATTTTGCAATGTACTTGTTAATTTGCTGTATTCCTTTCCATTTCTATGTGTTTTGATTGATAGCTTGTGTATTTACTTTATTTCAGAAAACTCATCCTGCAGCTCTATGGCTATAATGTTGCTATCTTGTTTTATTCCAGAAACTGATTGGCTTTCTAGATATTTGCCCGATTATATATTTAAAAAAAATATTCATTGTATTCATTATTGAATAAATATTGGAAATACTAGTTACTGTATTTAATGACTGGTGCTGGGGAAAACGACCAAGTACGGCCCTCCTGCCCCCCCCCCCAACCTTCCGCCGCCGTTGACTATATACCATAAAGTGTTCTTGAGTATTTTAAACCGGGGTCAATGAACTTTGACCGGTCATAAAACATTTTCCCACCCTCTAGCCGACATTTTTTTGGTGTATCCTGGTATATATCCCTACGCAAATCAGTTGAAATCAGCTTTTAATTTTTTCACAGATTTGCCTTTAACCATACACGAGAGATTTTTTGTTGATTTTACATTAATATATATATCTAACAATAATAAAAGAAATAAAAACTATAACTCAGATATATAATTTTGAAAAAGTAAATTACTTGTACTAGTTTATATGGTGTTTTAAATATCAGTTTATTTGGTATTGAAATATTTATTTGTAATTCTAACAATTCATTTGGGCAATATTATACGTAATCTCTAAAATTTTACCAGTTTTGTATTAGATATCATTTATATTTAGTAACCTATTGCAATTTTACAATTTAGATTGTTTATTATAAAAGGTCAAAAAATAATTATTAATACATTAATGTAGTATAAACAATAATTTCAACCACCCCATTGACAATCCCACTACTGTTAATATTTTATTTAAAAGTAGTCGAATTGCTTAATTTTATGCAGCTTTAAATATTAGTTTTCAACATTTTCTTTTTGCAATGGACTTATTAATTGCTGTGTTTGTGCTTTATTGCCCCCTCTGCTGTGAACTTACAATAGACTCATTAATTTGCTGTATTCTTTTCCGTTGGTGTTTGTAATTTATTATCCCTCTGTAGTGAAATTACAAATATTGTGTTTAATAATATTTTATTCATTTTGCAATGGACTTATTAATTTGCTGTATTCCTTTCCAATACTTATAAATGTGTTGATTAATTTATTGTTCCTCTGCAGTGAAATTACAAATTGTGTTTAATAATATTTTATTCATTTGCTGTATTCCTTTCCAATACTTAAATGTGTATTGATTGATTAATTTAATGTTCCTCTGCAGTGAAATTACAAATATTGTCTTTAATATTTTATTCATTTTGCAATATACTTATTAATTTGCTGTGTTCCTTTCCATTACTTATAAATGTGTTTTGATTGATAGCTTGTGTAATTTACTTTTATTTCAGAAAACTCATCCTGCAGCTCTATGGCTATAATGTTGCTATCTTGTTTTATTCCAGAAACTGATTGGCTTTCTAGATATTTGCCCGATTATATATTTAAAATAAATATTCATTGTATTCATTATTGAATAAATATTGGAAATACTAGTTACTGTATTTAATGTTGATTGTCTTGCGTGTTAGAGCACCCGGGATGGTAAAAAAAAAAAAAAAGCGCCCTCGAATAGAAAAAGGCCCAAAATATGACTAAGTTTTTTGGCCACTTTAGTCTGTGGAGTTCTGGTAAAAATAGTGAAGAAAAGCGCCCTCAAATAGCCTTTTCACCCCAAGTTCTTTAGGGTCTCTTAATAATTGTCATTGGTAGAGAATTTAAAGCACCATCTAATAACCAATTTTTCCAGAACTCTATACTTGTGAGGCACTGAAACTGGCTATTAGAGGGCGCATTTCACAATCATTGTAATAGAAATTGACAATTAAAAGAGACCCTGAAAAACGTAGAAATAAAATGGCTATAGAGGGCGCTTTCCAGCACCACAGGGAACCCCTTAATTAGAGACCCTGGAAATTTTGTTTTTGTATTAGAAGGCACTCTTCAGGACCACTTTAATACAAATTAAGGGAAAATGTCTTAGTCCTTTTTCTTTTAGAGGGCGCTTCTTTCGTTTTACCTGCTTATCCAGTCTTCAGACACGACCAGCAAAGAAACACATCAACACATTACTTATATTTTTTATTATAAAAACTTTACAACCAAAATCATAATATATGAATTTATATTAAAAGTACATAAAATATATGAAAAAATATAGGAAATTGTTTTTCTTGGTTCAATATTTAACAATCTGTCATTAATATTAAGTTGTTAAACAAATACAATCGCTGTATGTTTTCTTTCACCATGATTAAGCTGTCTCAATATTCAGCAAGATGTTGAACTAAACTCCAGTATATCTTCTTTTAATTGTCTTGCAAACTATTAGGCATAACCATATTAACTTTCGTTAATATGCTTTGCACGGCCTATATAAGAAAAATTAATTATATTAGTTCTGGCTCCTCTTCCACATCTTAATGTAATTCGATCATATCTTCTCTATAATAATGATCAATAATTCGAAATAATGCAAGTTGTCTTGATCAAGTAACTTGTTATTAAAGATACAATAATTGTTTGTGTTCTTTCACCAGGATTACTCTTTGGAACTAAATTTCAGTGTACTTTTCTTGTCTTGCAACATTGGTCATGCTCTGTTGCTGCATCTGCCAAAAATAAAATTTAATAAAGAATGAGAAACAGCAAATAAAGAGAAATAAGTCTAATAAATTATTATTTCATAAAGCCACTTGATACTTACAGTGCCATTCATTATTTGATACATATATCTTGCAGTAGATATTCGTCTGTCATCTGCAAACAAACAAATTACGGATCACTATATGCATTATACATGGATTTAAATTTAAATAAAAGATGAAAATAAGTAATCAAATTTAATAGTGGCCGAATAAATTAATTGAAGAGACCAAAAGAAAACAGCCTAGATGAGGAGCGAACACGAGGATACTACAAGAAGAGCAAGAGAGGGAAAAATAATAGAGAAGCAAGAAGTTTAAAATATAAACCAAACGTGGCAAAATATAGACCAAATAAGAACAGAAAAGAGGATAATGAGGAACAACAAACAAAACGAGACAAAGTCTTAATTAAAGATGTAATTTCAGATAGATAATATAGCTAGACTAGAGGGTGTATATTTTATAGCAATATTTTATACCTTCTATGTTTTGTTTTATATATAATGCGGAAAGCCTTTTTCGCAGCGTTAGTAGTCGTTCTACTTTACTAGGATTGAAGGATCCCAACAAAATAATAGAGTAGTTAAGGCTTGATAAGGGAATTGTAATTTTTTTATAGGTCATCAAATGGCAGTACAGTATGTATTTACTCCAATTTGTTTGCAGTTGCATCTATATGACTTTGAAATGAAAGAAATGAGTCAAGTAAAGCACCCATTCGGTTTGTGTTACCTTATCAATTTGTGTTTGTTTATTGAAAGGTATAACCTCCACTGCGAGCGTACACTTTTTAAATTTAATATGTACAGTATTTAATATCGTTACTTTATCATATCCAGTATAAAAATCGGGGTAAAACTCCATAATTTCTATGTTAAATTTAATAATTTCAAAATTATTTTATATGATTTTTGTACTTTCGGGGACAATATATAGGCCCATTTATGTCAAAGATGATTTCTTTTGATGCAGGTTTTAAGTCATCTGCCAGTAACGAAATGTTATAAAGTGATCCTTAAAGGCTAACCAAAGGAAAAGATGTTTCAGCAGATTTTCTAAAGATAAAGTTACACCGCTTTATAAGTCAATTATAAGACCAACCTTAAATATGGATCAGTTGTTTGGAAACCATCAACCAAATAAGATATAAATCGTTTAGAAAATGTACAGAAAAGGTACAGAGAAGGTGCTATAGCTCTGTTCTTAGGCGAAACTATCACTTACAGAAAAAGAAATATGATTTGACATGATTGAAACATACAAATATAAACTATGAGGCGCCAAATGTACTTTTATTATTTAACAAAATTATATTATATATATGTAATTCGTTTTATTTCAACTTTTTTTTTTCATTATATACATATAATTAGGTTTGCTTCGAACAATTATTATATAAATAATTGGTGGAGCGATTTTCCTATAAATAATACGGTGTTAAAACAGTTGTTTGTATATAATGACTATGAGTAAAATCATTATTTATTGGCACTTCAATTATTTATAATGTTTTTCTACTTTAAATATTACATGTATGCAAAATCAAAGAGTATTAATATAAGATAATACTTCAACATTTTAACCATAAATATTGAAAAATTAAAAAAATCATTCCATGAGAAAATTATACTTTATTTAGCAAAGTGCCCGCAGTCATGATTATGCGGTTCACGTTTAACAAAATAAGCCAGAAAATAATTATTAAGTGTATTGCAATGCATACATTATAGAGTATAATCTATTTTCATACTAAAATATATTATAATTAAAAGAAAACCTCGAAATGAAAATAGAATGAGACGCACATAGAATTGAGAATTTTGTGGCACCATGACGACAGGTAACGAAAGATAAGGTAAAATATGTGTTCCATATTCATCTGATTACTATCTAAAGTCTAGAGAATTAAAATGAAATGCAAATTACCTGATTAATATCAAAGCAACCACAATCTAACTTGATTACTTCAGCCGCCGATAAACTGGAAACAACAACACCGGCTCTCACCACTTCCGCAACCAGCACGGACTTGTTACGGCGGGAAATTCAAACATTAGCAACTGAAATGAAGGCTAAGTTCGATGATGTCCTAAAAAATCAAGGGTGTCTATTTTCAAGAATAGACAAAATTGAATCAAGGCAACTGGATATGGAGCGATCAATTATGTTTACATCTAATACCATCGATGATCTAGTAAAGAAAAATAACGATCTAAATCACAACCTACGGTACCGTACGTAATATCGCCGACGAAATCGAAAAAACAAAATCTTAAATTTGTCATCTAGAAACAGAGATCCTTAGCCTTGAACGGTGCTCTTGTGGATATAACTTGCGTTTTGGTGGAATACCTGAAAATAAAAGAGAGAAGGTCCACGATAAAATCAAAAATTTCTTGGCGGTGGAACTTGAGCTACTGGATGCGGACGTTCAGACCGCTCACCTCAGAGGTAAGGCACCCAGTTCGCCCGAGAATGTACATTGCTAAATTATTTTTCTGGTATGAATTAACGTACCGGTAAGAATTCTCATATATTTGTAATGAAAGATCTTCCTGCTGCCGATGTCAAGGAGAAATACCGGTAATGCACAAGGCGTATAAAGACAGGAAGAAGCCGATATTCCGTAATGGCAATCTGTACATAAATGGAAAATATATAATCAGTGACTGATTTAACTTGAAATTTGGTACTTAAATTATTTAATGTATTATTTAATTTGACGGAGCACATTTTAAATTTGTGTAATTGTGATTGTTAAATTCGTGTGTTATATTGTATTCTACCGCAATTTAAAGCACAGTGACCTATTGTTATTTTTATTGTTTATTGATTTCTGTTGATGTTTAATGATGATATTGATGACAACACGAGTGCTCAAATTACCCAATATTACCATGTGGAAGATTTTATACTACATTATGATAGTAGCAATTTAGGTACAGAGAGCCTCACGATATTTTTTTTTAAATTTTACTTCTAAATTGCCGTAGTATTGTAAATAAGTTTGATGCTCTTTCTTATTATAGCCAATATCCTCGCTTAATTACAATTTTTCTGTTATTGTCCTCACACAAACATGGCTTACAAGTAATAATACAATAGATTTATACAAATTACCCCAATATTCACTTACATATAAATACAGGATTGCGAAAAAGGGTGGTGGGGTATCCCTTTATTTAGGCCCTATGATAACTTATGTTATAACCTACGCAATGACTTATAGGCAATGGTTGTTAAATGCTGAATCGTTATTTATTGAGATACAAATTAAAAATAATTAATCAATCAATAATACGTCGACCCCCGAATCAGGAATTTCGTTAGTTAATGCAGACTATTAACAATGAGAAAAAACAAGCTTACCAACAGGATAATATAATGTAGACCTTCTGTAATGCTCAGCGGACGGTAGTATCCAAAGTCATACGGACGGTATTTTCTCCAATTCGTTTAGACCACTAATCCATAGGCCCACAAGGGTAAGTACTGTAATTCAAAATTCTATGTCCATGAATACAGTTATTCTAATATCAGATATCTCAAATCACTTTCGCATATTCTGTATTAATAAATCCGATAAACATTACAAATATATTACGTAAACGTAAGTTTTCTCTCCAGCAATCCCAACGCTGAGCAAGAGATGGAACGCACAACAATAAGAACACGTGTTAAATTCTAACGATGCAAGTACAACATTCCAACTGTTCTGTAATACTTTAACGTTAGAATTAGGGCAAACCGAAAACTATCACCCTCGATTACTAAAGGAATAGCCAAATAATTCAAATCAAACTATACAGTAAATATAGAAAAAACTCCCACACCATTTCAATAAAACAAAATATAATAATAAAATAGGCCTACACTTTGTATCTAAAAAAAACCAATTTTACACTAATCAATTTCAAAAATATAAAAATAATACAAAAGAAACCTGGAAGGCTATTAATCAGGTTCTTGGAACTAATATAAACATAATAGGGCCTACCAAAGGAACTTAAGGTCAGTGACCCCAAGTTGAGAGAACCAAAGCAGCAGCTGAAGCGTTTAAGTACTATGTTATTAATATAGGACAAAACTTAGATGATAAATAGGCCCTATAACAACCCGAGTATAGCAAGAGAAAATCCGATTCATTCTTGTCCGCACATTAAATTAACTCGATGTTTTTTCGACCTGTAACTGAAGAAGAAATAAACACCTATGTTATCAATATGAAATCAAATGTATCGTCAGGCCACGATGAGATAAATTCTAGTTATATTAAGTCCATATCACATTCAATCTTAAAATCAATTATACACACATGATAAATGTTTCTTTATAGACTGGTTGTGTTCTAAAACAATTAAAAATACCAAAGGTTATACCTGTTTTTAACAAAAAGTGATGGGCCAATCTCTGTATCACCGTGTCTTAAAAAATAAATGAGGGTTGTTTATGATCAAACTATGTCCTACATTACAAAATTCAATATATTAAATAACTCAATATGGTTTCCGTAAGCATCATTCCACTACTCACGCACTTACACAAACAATGGGAAAAAAATCACAAATACAATTTGGGGGGGGGGGAGCCTCGAGTAATTTTTGGAGGGGCATGCGCCCCCCGCGTACCACCTTAGATACGAGATTTCTCTAATTAGACCATGTACTGTATAAACGAATGGCTATATTATATGCAGACCGATTGTCTTTATATATTGATTGAACTGTTTATATATATTATGACCATGAAATCTGAGTATGATTGATCGATTGATGAATTGAATTGTTTAAAATGAATTGATTGTTTAAAAGGGGAAAACCGTAATTAAGGGTCAAACAAGTACAAAATATTTAAGCAAGTTTCTATCATTAAATCTATTGAAAAAAAAATCTATTAAATAGTATCATAATTAAAATAATGTTAAACTATGATTACTGTATCTTAGCTTTATTTCAGTTGGTTATTGTTTTATGTGCAAACAATGTACTCGTATTGTTTTGCGTAAGGGGCACTTGAAATAAGCTTTAAAGTTACAAATATTGGAGTATGACAATTACCTTTGTAGTTTTGTTAAAATATACATCACGGAAATACCCTATAATACAGCAAATCTGGGAGCTTTCTGCTAGAACACATCCTATCGAACATATCCGCCATTAGCTCACGTGGTTCTTTTGGATTTTTGGCAAAGTCTACACAAGTGAGGCGTCCAGAATATTAAGTGAAAATGGCCACAAGAACGCTGAAGCAAGTACCATCCCTGTATTATAAAGATATGAAAATATCCAACATGCTTTTTCAATATTTGCTTTACACCGATACGTTCAACTAGGAATATATAAAAATGCTTACCTTAAAAACACATTTAAAAGTCTTGTCGAAAACCCCCAGCGTCCGTCCGAGTGTATTTACACCATGCCATGCTCGCCTACATGGAAACTGACTCGTATTATTGGGTAACGAAACTTAAAAATCTCAAATATTGCAAGCGACAAGTTTTCTTTTTAATACTTAGGCCTACCTTAGTAGTTTTGTTGATACTTACATCACAAATATACCCTGGACCAGCCATAGACAAAATATGGTGTACCTTGTCCACCATTTCCGTCGTCACGTTAATTCGTGTCAGGCGGTTCTCTTGAATTTCAAAATTCACGCTCTGCTACATACACAGGTGGTAATACGTTTAATGCCATTAATGTTCTTAAAATCTTTGTATATCATTATACATTCTACCATTTTTATATTTAAATCATTTTAAATTATTTAATAAGGTGTAATAATATTTATATAGTGAGTTTAAAAACGATCCATGAGTCGTAAAATTCGCTTTAATTTAAATAAGTCTATAACAATTGTATATATAAAATTATATAAGTAAAATGGTTGAACGAGTTGCAAATATCATCAGCAGAGTGATCAATGGTAATTAGACCAGAGCAAACTATAACACAAATAAGAGGTTCAACAGCAGGTTTACTTAGACATCAGTAGAATGTAGTGATTTCACATATATATTTTAAATTATTATAAGTTCTATATTAATTATTATTGTCGTGATGGAATAAACAATAACTGGGTTTACGTCAGGAGGATCAAGTACTGTATAGGTGTAATTTTTTCACACGTACTGAGTATTCAGTGCATTTCCACGTCAGGTAGGGCAAAATTACACCTGTACTTGATTTTCCAGACGCAACCCCAGTTATTGTCTATTCCATCACGACAATAACAATTACTATTAACATTGCAGTACCCGCTGCTTACTTGGACTCGAATTCAACTCTGGCCATCAGGCGCAAGCTCGGTGGTCTAGAGGTAGCCTATGATGCCTGGCTAGTGATCTGGAGATCGTGGGCTCGAGTCCCACCCGAGAACAACTTGTGATTTCTTTTCGCAATTCAGTACATTTCCACGTCAGGTAAGGCAAAATTACACATAGGCCTATATGAAATTCTACTTACCTGATTATTATCAAAGAAACCACAATCTTGATTACTTCAGCCGCCGATAAACCGGAAACCGTAACACCGGCGATCCCAGCGGCTCCGGCTCCGGCTACTGGCACAACCTGTTATGGCCGGAAATTCAAACATTAGCAACTGAAATAAGAATCAAGGGTGTCTACTTTCAAGAATAGACAAAATTGAATCAAGACAACAGGATATGCGACAATCAATTATGTTTATATCTGATACCATCGATGACCAAAGCCTTGAACGGTACTCTCGTGGATATAACTTGTGTTTTTGGTTGAATAACTGAAAATAAAGGAGAGAAGCTTGTGTTTTTGGTTGAATAACTGAAAATAAAGGAGAGAAGTGTCCACGATAAAATAAAAAATATACTACTAAAATATACTTTGTATCGAAATAAACAATTAAGATCCGGAAAAATACAACGAAACGAAACAAAGACTTAAGTTGCAAAAGATGTAATTTCATGATAGATAATAGGCCTATAGCTAGACTAGAGGGTGTATATTTTATAGTTAATATTTTAAACCTTCTTCGTTTCATGTTTCCTTGGCCTAAGCATGTTTCGCTAGATTAAAAAAAATCCATGAAAATCAACTTTATATATAATGCGCAAAAGCCTTTTTTGCAGCGTTAGTAGTTAATTAGATTTGTGTTACTTTATCAATTGTGTAATGTTTATCGAAAGGTATAACCTGAACTACGAGCGGATACACGCTTTAAATTTAATATAAATTTAGTATCGTTATTTTTTCATATCCAGTATAAAAATCGAGGTAAAATTCAATAGGGCCTAATTCCTATGCTTAATTTAATAATTTGCATGTCAGTGCAAAATGAGCAAGTTAATTTCATAATTATTTTATATTATCTTGCCACTTTCAGGGGACAATACATATTTGTCAAACAACGATGATTTCTTTTGATGCAGGTTTTAAGTCATCTACCAGTAACGAAATGCTATAAAGTGATGTTTAAAGGTTAACCAGAGGAAAAGATGTTCCAGAAGAAGTCAATAGTAAGACAACCTTACAATATGGATTGGTTCTTTGGAAACCATCAACCAAATTCTACTTACCTGATTAATATCAAAATAAAAATGCTTCAAATACAGTAAAACATATGTTCCATTTTCATCTGATTACTATCTAAGTTCTACAGAATTAATATGAAATTCTACTTGCCTGATTAATATCAAAGCAACCACAATCTAACTAGATTACTCACCATACAGGTAACCACCCAGTTCGCCGGAGGACAAACCAAGTCACATTGCTAAATTATTTATATACAGTATAGACCTGAACGGTATGAGTCCTTAAGCGTTCTAAATCTTAACGTACCGGTAAGAATTCTCATATATTTGTACTGGAAGATCTTCCTGCTTCCGATGTCAAGAAAAGACGAGCGTTGAGAGAAATAACGCACAAGGCGTATAAAGACAGGAAGAAGCCGATATTTCGTAATGGCAATCTGACCTGTACATAAACGCAAAATTAAATTATACAATGTTTTATTTAATTTGACGGAGCATACTTTAAATGTGTGTATTTGTGATGGTTTAGTCGTGTGTTATATTGTATTCTACCGCACATTTAAAGCACAGCGGCCTATTGTTATTTTTATTGTTTACCGATTTCTGTTATGATGTTTAATGATGATATTGATGATAACAACACGAGTGCTCAAGTTACCAAATATTACCATGTTGAATATGTTATACACACAATGATAGTAACAATTTAGGTACAGAGCACAATAATTTTCTATTTTTCTTCTATATTGCCGTAGTATTGTGAATAAATTTGATGCTGTTTCTGATTATCCCTTAATTACAATTTTTCTGTTATTGTCTTCACTAAAACATGGCTTACAAATAAGAATACGATTCTTACATAAAGACAGGATTGAGAAGAAGGGTGCAGGAGTAGCCCTTTACTTAGGCCCTATATGATAACTTATGTTATAAGCTACGCAATGACTTGTCGGCAATGATTAATAATGCTGAATCGCTATTTATTGAGATACAAATTAAAAATAATAAATCAATTATATGTGGTGTTATCTATAGACCCCTTAGTCAGGAATTAATTAATTCAATGAACAAATTTCGTTAATAAATGCAGACTATTAACAATGAGAAAAAACAAGATTACCTTACTATATGTAGACCTTCTGCAATATTCAACGGACGGTGATATCAAAAGTCATGTGGACGCTATTTTCTCCAATTCGTTTATACCACTAATCGATAGGGCCACAAGGGTAAGTGATTACACTGCTACTATTATAGAAAATATCTACTGTATTTCAAATTCTATGTGCATAAGTACAGGTATTCTAATATCAGATATCGCAGATCACTTTACCCATATTCTGTATTAATAAATCCAAAGAACATTACAAATATATTAACAATAATATTCTTAAACGTTAGTTTTCTCTCCAGCAATCCCAACGCTTTGAGCAAGAGATGAACGCACAACAAAAAGAACACGTGTTAAATTCTAATGATGCAAATACAACGTACCAATTTGTTTGTAATACTTTAACTACGATTGACAGGTGCTTTCCACAAGTAAAAGTTAGAATTAGGGCAAACCGAAAACTATCAACCTGGATTACTGAAGGGATAGCTAAATCAATTTGTATAAAAGATAAATTATACAGTAAATATAGAAAAACTCCCACCAAGCAATAAAATAACATATATTAATAAAATATACTTTGTATAAAAAATAAACACACAACAATTTTACACTAATCAATTTCAAAAATATAAAATTAATATAAAACAAACCTGGAAGGGTATTAATCAGGTTCCTTTTACGAAATATAAACATAAATATACCAAAGGAGCTGGTAAAATTGTAGACTAATTTCTTTGCACATTAATACCTATTCAATTCAGATACAAGAAATTATATTTTTCATAACTATACTAGCTTGATGTTAATATGATAACGCTTTAATTGTTTAATTAAGTTGTATCATTTTAAGTACTTTACAAACCATGTTAAGTATGATTTATAGATTAGGTTAATAGACTTTTATTTATTATTTTATTTATTTTGTATACTCAATGTAAAAATATTGGTGTCAAGGTCCAGTTATAACTTATATTAATAAAGATAGCTTATTAAAGAAAACCACTAAAGCCATGAACATATAAAATTATCTAATAAATGGAACATGCCATCCCAGAATTTATTCTCACATTATAAGATTTTTAATGATGAGTCATTTACTGGAATCGACTTACTAATGCCAAAGTTATGAGTAAAAGAATTATTATTCTCTGTACTTTATGTACTCTCTGCCACATTCATATGCTAATTTCTCAGATTAACATAGCAACAGTACGCTGGTTTTGGGATGGCATGTCTCAAATCATCATATACTGTACTAATTTAAGTAAGGACAAAATTTTTGTGCCGATATACCGTCCAGACGCGTGCACAGCTCTAGAAGAAATATATTGTAGTACCATTCTTTTAAATGTCTTACCATTATTAGTATATTTTGAGTTACTATTTATGTCTATTAACATATCGTAAAAAAATATTTTTACAGTAAAACGAATCTACAAAATATTGTAAGAGGACTTGTCACACTACAAAAGGAACAGATGTAAGAATTCATTATTCAAATTACGTTAGTACAGTAGGGAAAGGATCATATAGCAGAGTATTCAGTATGATACAGTATAGGTAAGTTGAACGTACCACTTCAGTGAATGAGGCTGATACAAACGCATTTATGTTTACTAAATATAATGAAATAAATTATTCTGTTATATGGCAATATTTGCAGCATTTGGCTACTTGGCTTCACAGAATGATTATTGAAATGATAGTCCTGGGCGAATCCATAGGGTGATGCTCGTCGACGTCCATACCGCCACCTCTTCCCCCCCCCCCGCAACCCCACTTAACATGTTAAGAGTGCTTTTTAGCTGGCAAAAAAAGTGTACAGGTATTGGGTTAATAATCAGCAGCTTTTTTTTTCTTGCGGGGGGTGTGGGTGTGGATTCATTTATGAGAATAATGTGACGATTACTCCATATAGTTAGTTTAAACGCACTCAAATTAGGATCAATTTTATTGATATACGTTAGAGGAATATCTTTCCAATTTACTTAACAATCGTTTTACCTATTAATTCCTTCATTTTTCTGTTTTTAAATTAGGGTCTTTTATTTTTTCTTTTTTATTGTTCCAGATTAAGTTAAAGATAATAGACTCGATCGTTTCTAAAATCGAGTCTGATACGCTAGCAAGATACAGTAAAACCTCGAATTGAAGCCCAATGGGCTTAATCTCAAGAAGAAGCTCATCTTGAATTGAAAGCCCTCCCTCTTTAGTTTGCAAAATTACCCATGGGCTTGGCTTTTCAAGATAGCAAAGTACGGTACATACACTGTACATGAATTTTAAATTAACTAAATAAAATTATTTAAAAAAACCACTTGGCTTATACAGTAGTTTAGGTGATTCAATGTCGGTTAATACACTCAGTGATACATATTGATGTTACAGTGGCCCTATCTATTGTTTTATAGTACTAATTACGAAAATTTACAGACATTCATTTTAAAAAGAAGCCCCCTCTTTACTTTGCAAAAGTGGCATCGAAAAGGAGCCCATCAAAAGTTGGCAAAAAATTAAGAAGCACATGGTTTCAATACAAGATTTTACGGTGGTATGAATTTTAAGAGGCCTGAAGTTTTCAGTATAGCGACCCTGCCAAAAAATGTTCCATTTTCAAACATGAATGTGCGATTTAGTATCGGAGGGCCATACCAGTGGTGTATAGGAGTCTTGCAATGAGGAGATAATTGGAAGAGACGTGGCCCGCGAAGGTGAAGTGGGTGCTTGATGATTGGGTGAGGGGGTGCTAGCTCGCAAAATAAGGTGATTTCAGGTACTTGAGTGTGATTTTTTGTTTCGAACATTTTTCCAATGAGGCGTTGGGGGGGGGGGGCGATTTTCTTTTTCCCGTAGGGTATACACTCCCATTAGATATGCCAATTATAATAAATAACACATGTACATGCACTAAAATTTACTTCCTTTAATTCATACTTTTTTTTGGATACAGACAGTTGATTATTTTTTTTAAATGACGGTGTACCACCTCATCGACCGTTTAAGAATAATAAATATCTAGGCCTTTACTAAAGTACAAAATCATCGCCTTCTATAGAAACACCACACAGCGGATATTCTTATGGCAACTGAGAGATAAGCTGAGCGTCCTCCTGTTGACTTTCCTTGTTCTTAAAATGAGGCATGTTGTGGCAAAAGGTTAAATTGTAGGAGAAATTAAAATTTAATTATTGGTATTTTCAGATACTTGAGTAGGAATAACATTCATTCTCATGCATGGCAATGTTTCAAATCATGATCCATAAGTTTGGCCTCCAGGTCGTGATTCAATCACTCGCTGTGTATCTCGTTTGTGTCCTTGAGCAAGGCACTTTATCTGCATTGCTTCTCCCATGTACCCAGGAGTATAAATGGGTACCTGGTGGGGTTGCTTGCATCAGTGCAGCTCAGGATTTTATGAATGAAACACGACTGACTCAAACATGGCTTGGGTCAGCCCTGTGTGACGTGGTACACTATTTGTATACAAAAGCTAGTGCACAAACCCAAAATGAGTGTGCTATACAGAATGCAAAATAGTATCACACCCCCTTCAAATGGCTTCCCTATTGCTCACTATTTCAAATTAAGCCATACTCTCAGTGATTTAGGCACCAATTTCAGATCTACAGACTAGAAGATGTTCCGAGGGTATCCGCAAAGTCCTCTAGCCTTAGTAGATTTGAAATTGGTTCCTAAGATCATAAAGCCTAAATCACTAATAGTATGGCTCGGTAAATTAAAGTGGTGAGCAACAGGAAGCCCTTTTGATGGTCTTTAACTAATTTGTATGTGTTTTTTAAGTCTGAGTTTACATTCGGTTTCGCCTACAATAATTATCGTTATTACATTTAGTTAAGCCTGAGTTTACATTCGATTTCGCCTACATTAATTGTTTATTACATTTTATTTCAAGATAGTAGTGTGTTGCGCTTTTGTACGACGGTGACGACAAAATTCTAAATTGGCAAACTGGGTTTCGGCCAAATGGGATTTCATGTTTTTGGTGAACTGGATTCGGCAAGCTGGGTTTTCGGCAAAGTGGGTTTTCGGCAAAGTGAATTGAATTTGGCCAACCGGGTTTCGACAAACTGGATTTCGACCAACTGGGAGGTAACCTATTTATGTGCAGACAGACTGTGGTTTACTGGTTACATGTAGGCGTATCTCCAAACCAAAGTTAATTTCATCTCATTAACTATTATTCCGTGCTAATGGAAAAATCCAAGGGTGTAAAATACTGTATTCTCAGTAACGTATCTAGAAGTCTTGAAATGGAGGTGCCAAATGGGGGGGGGGAGGGGGTGAAGTGGGTTCTCGATGATCAGATGAGGGTCGCTAATTCGCAAAATATTGTGATTTTAGGTGATTTCTAACTACTGTACTTGACTGATATTTTGGAGGGGACGACTGGGGGAACAAGTAATTTTTGGAGGGGCTGCGCCCCCCTTCCCCCCTCCCCCCCCCCCCCCGCATACGCCACTGTATATTCTTTGATTATGTACTTATAAACAATTACACTGTATAACGAATGGTTTAATTATCTGCAAACCGATTATCTTTATATATTGATTGAACTGTTTTTATATATTGACCATGAAATCTAATTATGATTGATTGACTAATGAATTGAATTGTTTAAAATTAATTGATTGTTTAAAAGGGGAAAAACAGCAATTAAGGGAATATATAGTAAGTTTCTATCATTAAATCTATTGAAAAAACACCAAATTTATTAAACAATATCAATATAAAAATAATGTTAAACTATGATTACTGTATCTTAGTTGGCTTGATTTCAGTTTGTTATTGTTTTATGTGCAAGCAATGTTATGAACATTTTAAAAAATAGAGAAAAAAAGAGATCCGCAAAGTCCTCTAGCCTTAGTAGATTTGAAATTGGTTCCTAAGATCATAAAGCCTAAATCACTAATAGTATGGCTCGGTAAATTAAAGTGGTGAGCAACAGGAAGCCCTTTTGATGGTCTTTAACTAATTTGTTTGTGGTTTTTAAGTCTGAGTTTACATTCGGTTTCGCCTACATTAATTATCGTTATTATTACATTTAGTTTAAAATAGTTAAGACTGAGTTTACATTCGATTTCGCCTACATTAATTGTTTATTACATTTTATTTCAAGATAGTAGTGTGTTGCGCTTTTGTACGACGGTGACGACAAAATTCTAAATCGGCAAACTGGGTTTCGGCCAACTGGGATTTCATGTTTTTGGTGAACTGGATTCGGCAAACTGGGTTTTCGGCAAAGTGGATTAAATTTGGCCAACCGGGTTTCGACAAACTGGATTTCGACCAACTGGGAGGTAACCTATTTATGTGCAGACAGACTGTGGTTTACTGATTACATGTAGGCGTATCTCCAAACCAAAGTTAATTTCATCTCCTTAACTATTATTCCGTGCTAATGGAAAAATCCAAGGGTGTAAAATAATATATTCTCAGTAACGTATCTAGAAGTCTTGAAATGGAGGTGCCAAATGGGGGGGGGGAGGGGGGGAAGTGGGGGCTCGATGATCAGATGAGGGTCGCTAATTCGCAAAATATTGTGATTTTAGGTGATTTCTAACTACTTGACTGATATTTTGAAGGGGACGACTGGGGGAACAAGTAATTTTTGGTGGGGCGTGCGCCCCTCCTCCCCCTCCCGCATACGCCACTCTATATTCTTTGATTATGTACTTATAAACAATTACACTGTATAAACGAATGGTTTAATTATCTGCAAACCGATTATCTTTATATATTGATTGAACTGTTTTTATATATTGATCATGAAATCTAATTATGATTGATTGACTGATGAATTGAATTGTTTAAAATGAATTGATTGTTTAAAAGGGAAAAAACAGCAATTAAGTGAATATATAGCAAGTTTCTATCATTAAATCTATTGAAAAAAACACCAAATTTATTAAACAATATCAATATAAAAATAATGTTAAACTATGATTACTGTATCTTAGTTGGCTTGATTTCAGTTTGTTATTGTTTTATGTGCAAGCAATGTTATGAACATTTTAAAAAACAGAGAAAAAAAGAGATCCGCAAAGTCCTCTAGCCTTAGTAGATTTGAAATTGGTTCCTAAGATCATAAAGCCTAAATCACTAATAGTATGGCTTGGTAAATTAAAGTGGTGAGCAACAGGAAGCCCTTTTGATGGTCTTTAACTAATTTGTTTGTGGTTTTTAAGTCTGAGTTTACATTCGGTTTCGCCTACATTAATTATCGTTATTATTACATTTAGTTTAAAATAGTTAAGCCTGAGTTTACATTCGATTTCGCCTACATTAATTGTTTATTACATTTTATTTCGAGACAGTAGTGTGCTGCGCTTTTGTACGACGGTGACGACAAAATTCTAAATCGGCAAACTGGGTTCGGCAAACCGGGTTTCGGCCAACTGGGATTTCATGTTTTTGGTGAACTGGATTCGGCAAACTGGGTTTTCGGCAAAGTGGATTAAATTTGGCCAACCGGGTTTCGACAAACTGGATTTCGACCAACTGGGAGGTAACCTATTTATGTGCAGACAGACTGTGGTTTACTGATTACATGTAGGCGTATCTCCAAACCAAAGTTAATTTCATCTCCTTAACTATTATTCCGTGCTAATGGAAAAATCCAAGGGTGTAAAATAATATATTCTCAGTAACGTATCTAGAAGTCTTGAAATGGAGGTGCCGATTGTGTGTGTGTGGGGGGGGGGGGAGGAGGTGAAGTGGGGTCTCGATAATCAGATGAGGGTCGCTAATTCGCAAAATATTGTGATTTTAGGTGATTTCTAACTACTTGACTGATATTTTGAAGGGGACGACTGGGGGAACAAGTAATTTTTGGTGGGGCGTGCGCCCCTCCTCCCCCTCCCGCATACGCCACTCTATATTCTTTGATTATGTACTTATAAACAATTACACTGTATAAACGAATGGTTTAATTATCTGCAAACCGATTATCTTTATATATTGATTTAACTGTTTTTATATATTGACCATGAAATCTAATTATGATTGATTGGCTGATGAATTGAATTGTTTAAAATGAATTGATAATAATGTTAAACTATGATTACTGTATCTTAATTGGCTTGATTTCAGTTTGTTAATGTTTTATGTGCAAAAATAGAGAAAAAAAGAGAGATGAAATAAAAGTTGGTAAAACGCCTACAAAAGAGAAAAAAAATCTAATGTGACCCAGGAAAGAAATTTTTGAAAAGCAGTGCTCTATAATCACAACTTTTCTTGTCGAAATTGCCCAGCTCAGTACGAGTTCATTTAGACCCCACCATGCATACACTACAAAGAAACTAACTCGTATTGTTTGGCGTAATGGGTATTTGAAATAAAAAGTTACAAATATTTTGATTATGACACTTACCTTAGTAGTTTTGTTAAAATATACATCAAAAAATACCCTATAATACAGCAAATTAGAGAGTTTTCTGTTAGAATACCTGCTATCGACCATACCCGTCATTAGTTCACGTGGATCTTTTGGCATTTTTGGCAAAGTCTACACAGGTGGTGCGTCCAGAATATTAAGTTAAAATGGCCACAAGAACGCTGAAGCAAGTACCATTCCTGTATTATAATATATGAAAATGTCCAACATGCTTTTGTCAATTTTTACTTTATACCGAGCGTACAACTAGGCCTATATAAAAATGCTTATTACCTTTAAAACACATTAAAAAGTTTGTCGAAAACCCCCAGCGTCCGTCCGAGAGTATTTACACCATGCCATGGGTAACGCAACTTAAAAATCTCAAAATATTGCAAGCGACAAGTTTTCTTTTTAATACTTAGGCCTACCTTAGTATTTTGGTTGATACGTACATCACGACTATACCCTGGGCCTATAAAAATCATAATCAAAATATGGTGTTATTTGTGCTCAAATACACCTTGTCCACCATGTCCGTCGTCACGTCAATTCACGCCACGCGGTTCTCTGGAATTTCAAAATTCACGCTCTGCTACATACACAGGTGGCAATACGTTCAGGATATTAGGTGAAAATGGCCACATGAACACTGAAGTTTAATGCCGTTAATGTTCTTAAAATCTTTGTATATTTATACATTTTACCATTTTTATATCTAAGCCATTTTAATTAATTTAGTCTAGTAGCATTTATATAGTGACTCTAAAAACGAATCATGAGTCGTAAAATTCGCTTTAATTTAAACAAGTCTATAAAAATTGTATATATACAATATTAACATTAGTAGAATGTAGTGTAGA